TAAGACTTCATGGAGTTCAGTGGGCCAAAATAAAGAGGAAATGGCCAACTTAGCAAAATTATCAGGAAAGAATTCTTAGAGGAAGTGATGGCTGAGCTCCATTTTGAGAGTTGTGTAGGAGTTTCCCAGACAGAGGGTGAGGTGGGGGGGGTGGCTTCCAGGCAGAGAAAGCAGCTGAAGCAAAAGCACTGATGCCTGAAAAAGCATGTGAGCATGATGGAAAACCTCAAGCAGCTCAGTATGACTAGAACACACACTAAAATGAGAAGGGTGGCCCAAGGAAACCAGGGTACAGATCATGTCGGGTCATCGCCTTTCTAGGGAGATTGGGGTTCATTCTTCAGAGAAGAGGGACATGTTAAATATCTTCAATAAGGGAGCAACTCAATAAATAAGATTTATGTTATAAAAATAACACTCTGCCAGCAATGTGACTGAATTAGAGGGAAACGAGACTTGAAGTCAGATAAACTAGTTAGGCCAAAGGGCAATGGAAAGCATACTGAAAGTTCTCAAACTAAAAACTCAACCAAGATTCTTATATCCACAAGAGTTATCTTTCAAAAATGAAGGAGAAATAAAGACATTCCCAGAGAAACAAAAACTGGGAGAAATTATTGCTTGCAGGTTGCCTGACAAAAGGTACTAAAGAAAGGTCTTTAGGCTGAAAGTAAGCCTAGATAGCAATTCAAGCGTCTTCAAAAAGCCAGAGAGCAACAGTAAGTGTAATTATGTAAAAGACAGTATAAATGCATATTTTCTCTTCTTTGTTCTCTTAATTTGAAAATGTAAAAATTAATTATATCAAACAATCTGCATATAATTGTATAATTGTATTGCTAAGGCCATAACATGTGGAAATATATTTGTCAATAACAACATAAAGGAAGCAGGTGGGAGCAAAACTGTATTTGCCGAAAAAAATGACACCAGATGGTAACTAAAATTCACAGGAACAAAAAACAGAACCAGAAATGGTAAATAAGAAAGTTAATATAACAAAAGCTGCACATATATATATATCCTCTTTTTTATTCTCTCAGCTTCTTTAGAAGACATTAAATTATATAAAATGATAATTATAACAACTACTTTGGGGCTTCAGATGTATATAGATATATGTATAACAATAATAACACAAAAGGAAGGGAAAAGAAATGGAGTTATATAGGAGTAATGTTTCTATCTCATTGGGATTAATTTGGTATAAGTCTTAAGCAGATTTTTGTAAGTTAAGATGTATAGGGCAAGCTCTACATCAACCACTAAGGAAATCACTTAGGAAAATATAGTTAAACAATTACAAAAGAAATAAAAATGTTACATTAGAAGAATTTTACTAATGCAAAAGAAAAGAGTGAGGTATGCATAGAGGAACCAAAGACATGAGTTATACAGAAAACACAAAGTAAAAAGGCAAGCATAAATCCAACTTTATCAATGACATTAAATGTGAATAGCTTAAACAGTCTAATCAAATGGCAGACTGCCAGATTAGATTGTTAAAAAAAAAAAAAGACCCAACTATATGCTGTCTACAGGAGATACATTTTAGGTTCCAAGATACAAATAGACTGAAAATAAAAGAATGAAAAAATATATCATTCAAATGGCAACCATAAGAAAGCTTGAATGGCTATACTATTATCAGGCAAAACAGATTTTGAAATAAAAAATATTACTAGCAAGAAGAAGGACATTTTATAATGACAAAAAGTCAACATACCATAAAGGCATAATCATAAACATATATGAATCTAACATGGGGCCCCAAAAATGTATGAAGTGGTAATTGACGGAAATGAAGGGAGGACTCAATAAAGAAACAATAATAGTTAAAGATTTCAATACCCCACTTTCAATAATGGATAGGACAACTAGACCAACAAGGATGAAAAGACGTGAACAATACAATAAACCAATTAGACCTAACAGATACCTATAGAATGCTATACTCAAAATAAGCAGAAGACTCATTCTTTACAAGTGAACGTGGAACATTCCACATAATATACTACACGTTAGGCTACCACACAAATCTCAACAAAACTAAAACAACTTAATTCATACAAGTATCTCTTCCGATCACAATAGAAGAAAGCTAGAAATCAATACCAGAAAGAAAACGAGAAAACTTACAAGTATGTGGAAATTAAACAACACACTGTTAAATAACCAAGGAGTCAAAGAAGAAATCACAAGGGAAATTAGAAAGTAATTAGAAATAAATGAAAAGTAAAATACAACATACTGGAACTTATGGAATGCAGTGAGAGCAGTGCTCAGAGGAAAATTTGTAGCTATAAATGCCTATATTTAAAAAGGAGAAAAATCTCAAATCAATAACTTAACCTTTCACTTTAAGACAATGGGAAATCAACAACATTAAATCTAAAGCTAGAAGAAAGAAGGAAATATAAACATTACAATGGAAATAAATAAAATAGGTAATAAATAAGAAATTTGAGAAAATCAACAAAACTAAAGGTTGGTTTTTCAAGAAAATAAATAAAAGTGACAAACTTTTTACTAGATTGACCAATTAAAAAAGAAAAAATTTCAATTACTTAAATCAGAAATAAGAGGAGACATTACTACCTACCTTTCAGAAATAAAAAGGGTCATAATGAGCTAGTATGAACAGTTGTATACCAATAAATTAGATAAATGAAATAAACAAATTCCTGAGAAGCCACAATCTAGTAAAAATGAGTCAATAAGAAATGCACAGGCTGAATATACCTACAGTAAGGAAAGAGATTAAAGTAGTAATCAAAAATTATCCACAAAGAAAAGCCCAGACCCAGAAGGGTTCAATGATAAATTCTACCAATATATTTAAAGAAGAATTAATGTCATTTTTTTACAAACTACTCCAAACCTTAGAAGAGAACAGAATTAATACCAATTTTTCACGAACTTTTCCAAAACATAGAAGAGAAGAAAACACTACCTAACTCACTGAAGTCAGCATTATCTTTATATCAAAATCAAACAGAAACATCACAAGAAAATAAAACTTCAGACCAATATCTATTGTGAATATGGCTACAAAAATCCTCCAAAAACACTAACAAACTAAATCCAGCAACATATAAAAAGAATTATACACCAAGACCAAGTGGGATTTTTTTCCCAGGAATTCAAAGTTGATTTAACATTGAAAAATCAATTAATGAAATGTACCATAGCGATAGAATAAAAAACAAAAAACGTATGATTATCTCATTCAACAACCTAGAATTCAAAAAAAAAAAAAAAAATTCTCAACTCAGTAAAGAGCATCTATGAAAACCCACAGCCAATGGCATTGTCAGTGATGAAAGACTGGATGCATTCCTCCTATCATCAAAAACAAGACAAAAACCCTCATACACTGGTTGTAGAAATGCAAATTAGTATATCCACTTTGGAAAACAGTCTCCTACTCCTCAAAAAGTTGAACATAGAATTATCATTTGACCCAGAATTCCACTTTCTCTTGGGGATATGCCCAAGAGAAGTAAAAACCTAAGTCCACCTAACAGCTGTATACAAATATACATAGCAGCATTATGCATAATAGATGAATGGTGGAAACAACCCATATTTCCATCAAGTGTTGAATGGATATATAAAATGTGATAAATTCATACAATGGAATATTATTTGGCCATAAAAATGAACTGCTGGTACATAGTACAAGATGAATGAATCTTGAGAGCACTATACCAAATGAAAGATGTCCGTCATGAAAATCTGCATATTATATGACTCCATTTATATAAAGTGCTCATACTAGTCAAGTTTAAACAGACAAAAAGTAGATAGTGACTATCTAGGTCTGGTTGAGATGGAGAGATGGGGGGCGTGGGATATAGGGACTTCGAGTGAAAAGGCATAAGGTTTTAGATGGCAACATTCTAAAACTGATTGTGTGGATGGTAGCACAATTCTGTGAATACAGCCATGCATCACTTGCTTAACAATGGGGCTGTGTTCTGAAGAATGTGTCATTATGCGATTTGGTCAGTCAGCAAACATTATAAAGTGTACTTACACAAACGTAGACGGTATTGCTTACTACCCACTTAGGTTATATGGTATGCCCCATTGCTCCCATAGCTCCTAGAAACCTATACTGCATGATACTGTACTGAATACTGTAGGCAATGGTAATACAATGGTATTTGTGTATCTAAACATAGAAATGGGACAGTAAAAATACAGTGTTATAATCTTACGGAACCATTATCATATACATGGTCTGTCATTTCCTGAAATGTCAATATATGGCACATGACTGGGTACTAAAAATCCACTGAATTGTTTAAATAAGAGAGAGAACTGTTGCAAGATTTTTGCCAGAGATGGTAAGTTAGAGGTTGGGGTAGTTTTGATTGTTTTTCAAGCAGTAGAAAGCACAGGTCTGGGTGACTGGCGAGTTGGGGGTCATTTCTTTAATAGATGGGTTTCCAATTTTGGCATTTACCAAGACAGTAAACTTAAGAAATGAAGCAGAATTAGGGGAACAAGGAGAAGTTTCATTTTGTACATATGGAGTTTGACATTCTAGTGAGACCTGAGAAGAAAAATATCAAGAAGAGATTTGGACATACAGGTCTTTAACTCAAGAGCACTCAGGCTAGAAAGGTAAGTTTGGAATTCATCATGTAATCAGGTAGTGACTGAGGTCATGTGAGGATCTGAGACTGCCAGGAAGATGGGGTTCAATGGCAACACGTGATGTTTGTGATAGAAAACACAGAATATATGAAAGGAAAAGAAATTCTTCCAATTGCCAACACTCACTACATCTTTTGATACCCATTTAATATTTTTCTTCTATTTTTTTCCCTTCAGTTTTCCCCATTTTTAAGTAGCTATGTGTGCATTTTTTGTCCTGACATTCTTCTACTTAATATTATAAAATATATATTTGTCTACGTTGTTACAAGTTCTTTGTCCCAGAATCTCCTCACAATCATTTTCCTCATAGGGTCCTATTCCTTGACTCTTACCTGGGATTGCCCATGGCAGCTTCCGCCTCTCCTGCCTTCTCTTCCTTCCTGATCACTCTCCCAACTGCCCTTCTCTAGTGTAGATCACAAAGGCCGCTTCCTTCATGAAAGTCATGTGATTTCTGGCTGAAAGTTGATCATTAACTTCAAAATGGAATTTCAGATTTCTATTTCATTGTCCCTCCTGACCCACACTGGAAAGGTCACTTTGAGGAAACTTCCTGATACCATCTTAGAAAGACTTTATCAGCAAATTCCCCTTTTTGCCGTCCTTTCTTGCATTCTCTTTAAGCATCTTTTAGCAGGCTCAGCTCCCCATTTAGTGCTTCCAAGAGGGTAGAATGGACTCAGGTATGCCATTGCCATACAACTGAAATTAGCACAGTCAAAACACCAAAAATGCCATCTAAGTTCTAAGCACACAGATTAGGTTAAACAAAAATGCAGGCACTTTACCAAAACAGTCCCTGAGTCCTTAGAATACAAATGAGATGTGGAGAGTAAGATAACAAACCTGAAAAATGACATCAGATATCTGTTGTAGGCAATGATTTATTTAATATATATTAAATGTGGATACCTTGAATCAATATTAAATGATGAAACAAAGGCCCATAAAGGAAATAAACATAATTACAGATCATTATTTCTAGTTTGGTATTTAGGTTTCACAAACAAGGCCTCAGTGATGACGGGATATATGCAATGATTTTAGCAGATACTCAAGATATAGTTGATTCTCAATAAAAATTGTATTTCTTTCCTTAACATTGAAATTGAGCTTCTATTTATTGATGGCTGGCTCATGTGCCAGGAATCATGCTCAGTGTTTTCTCATACTCTCTCACTGTCCCATCTACCTTTTCAACAATCTTGAGAAGTAGGTATTTCACTGAACATTGTGTCTCTGAGAGGTTACATGATTCACTCAAGATCACACGGCTACCGTGGTCCATCTGAAGCTGTATTTCATGTCCTCTGAATCCAAATCCAATGGGCCTTCCCATCCACCACTTATGTTTATTCTTCAATTCTCTTCACCATTTATTTATTGTTAGTTAGAACGCCTGTGATCTTCATCCTATCACATAATCTCTTTTTCTGTTATTCTCTCAGTAAAATCCTCACCACACCAGCAGACTTCTTCATCTTACTCCCTCGCTGACTCGGTTCTCTGAACTACCTCCAACATTTTTACCCCTCCTTTTCACCTCTTCTCAACCTTGCCTACTACTGCAAACATTATCTTGTAAAGTAAGTTTAAAGATTAAAGATTAAACTCCTTAATGACTTAGGATCCCAGATCAAACCACAAAGATCACTCAACCTTATACTGACAAGTCAGAGTTAATAGTTTTGGGGCCAAAATAAATAACAAAGTCTGCTGGTTTGAGCCTGCTCTTGGTGCTACATGTGCCAGGTACGTGTGTGCTGCGTGTGTGTGTGTGTAAATTCTCTTTTCCTCATGACCACTGTTTTCCAGATAAGAAAAACCAGAGCTCAGAGCTCAAAGTACGTTCTCCTGATCACAGAATTAGCAGGTAACAGAGTTAGAAATTCAAACCCAGTACCATCAGACTGTATGTGTTGAGCTCTTTGCACTATAACAGAAATCCGTAAATATCTGTTCACACACAAAGGGCTAGATCATCACAAAGTTCTCACCGGTTCACGGCTAAATAAAAACAGCACAATATTATAAACCAGGGAGCTGCACTTTGTGTCAGCATAAACACAGATTATTGTCAAGAACCATTCTGAGTTTATGTCCTTTCTGCCTTTTTGGTGTTAACGTTTCTTTTTCCTTGTGAAATGATAATGAAAACAGGTCGTAGTATTTAACCATTTGATGGTTAAATGGCAATGTTCTTAGTAAAATGAAAAGTAGGTAACCCTGTGTTAGTTATGCAGGCCCCTGTCTGCATGTCTATGCATGATGTATTAATGGTTACAGTTACTATGGATAAAATGCTGGGAGAGTTAGCTTCCACCCCAGCCCAAACATTCTGTAAAGCAGCTCAGTCCTGCACTTAGTTTTAGCCTGAATAGTCTTTTTCAATGTTTGCCTCTGGCTCAGCATAACTAGAGAGTTGTTCCTGGCCTATGTAGTCATAGCCACACAAGAGGCACATTTCAGGAGACGGGGGGTGTGACCTGCTGCCATGGGAAACTTCTCAGTGGCCCAGGTACTGGGAGAAATTATCTGAGCTTTTGGTGAGAAAGGAGTGGGATATCCACCTGGGAATGTCCCCATTTGGAGCTCTGTGCTAATGAAGAAGGGACTTTCTCACACTTTAAATGAAGTCTTAGTCTCATACATATCACTCTGATTCACACAGTCACAGTCTTTTTTTTACAATGGGTAATTTAGATCATAAAGAGATGTATTAATCAATCTTCAGAGTTACCTTTGAATGCTGGCTGCTGATCCAGAAAAATAAGGCAGGTCTACTATACAGTCAGCCATACAAGCTTTCCAAGAAACAAAAACAATGGAATTCAAGTAAATTGGCTTAAAAGGCAGAAGTTCAATTGCTACATATTTCCTTGGTTCTGATTTACTTATTGTTCACACATTTATTCATTCAATGTGCATTATTTGTTCAACCCTTTCTTCATGGTTACATAGCACTAAGTTCCTGAATAAAAGCCCCTATGAAAGGCTTTCCTTGTTTGATGAACCAAAGAATGGATACACAGAGACAGAAATAATTACAAGAATAAACAAGGCAATAAAAATATACAGAGTGGCTTTCAAAAGGCAATTTTTTTTTAAGTTAACAGAATGTTTTGCTATAATATGTAGAATGAATAATTCTAAACAATATATGTAGAAATGTTTTGGAGACTGCTTACAACAAGTGACCTCCAAGTCTGTGGTACCAGAATCTCAGGAACATGGGAGCATAGTGATAAAGGTCGATAATCTCTTTTAGGTATTTTAAGAGTCCGATTTAAACAATAAAAACGGCCAAACCCTGTGGCTTATTCTTGTGATCCCGGCACTTTGGGAGGCTGAGATGGAAACACTGCTTGAGACCAGGAGTTTGAGATCAGCCTGGGCAACATGGCCTTTTGGAGAGACCTTGTCTCTACAAAAACTAAAAATTAGCCAGGTGTGGTGGTACATGCCTGTAGTCCCAGGTACTCAGTAAGCTGAGGCAGGAGGACAGTGTGAGCCTAGGAGGTCAAGGCAGTGATGAGCCGTGATGGCACCACTGCACTCCAGCCTGAACAACAGAATGAGACCTCATCTCAAACAGAAACAAAAACACAATAAAGAAAAAATAAACAATAGCATAAATGCAAGTGTATGTGTGCATGAGAGAGAGAAACACCTAAATAAGTTGCAAGTGTGCATATGCCTGACCATATAGTGTCATCTGCAACAGTAAAAACCTCTTATTAATATGATTTATGAAATAATACTTTTTCTAGCTACGATGAATGGAAAAGAAAAATGGAAAAAGACTATCCAAAGAATACTGAAGAAGAATTTTCAGGAGTCAACGGCCAGATCGATGCTGCTGTGGAATTAAACGGTGAGTGTTTCCACTGAAAACGTTCATACGAAATCTGAGCTCTGCTTTAACACAACAGAAAATGGGTTTCCAAGTGGGAGTCATTGGTTCTTGTATTCGGTCCTAGGTCCTTTCATAAGTTTAGCTAACCAGATTATCCACTAGAAAGAGTAACTATAAAAGGTCTGGTATTGTAGTTCTCTCTTTCCTAATAGAAAGTTTTTAAACTATAGCTTCAATCAATTAGTCAGCTAGATCATAAAGTCTACCTGGGTCGATATTACCTTTTCTATCTTTAAAATACACACAGTCTTGGCCAGGCGCAGTGGCTCACACCTGTCATCCCAGCACTTTGGGAGGCCGAGATGGTAGGATCTCTTCAGTTCAGGAGTTTAAGACCAGCCTGCAATATGGTGAAACCCTCTCTCTACAAAAAAAATTAGCTGGGCATGGTGGCACACGCCTATAGTCCCAGCTACTCAGAATGCTGGGAGTGAGGATCACTTGAGCCCAGGAGGTTGAGGCTGCAGTGAGCTGTGATTGTGCCACTGCACTCTAGCCTGGACAACAGTGATGATACTCTCTCTCAAAAAAATAAAAGAGTCACAACCTTCCATCTCCTACAATTTAACACATAGCTAGGAAAGTTGAATAGAATTTTGTTGAATAAATTTAATTGAATCTTCTGATCAATCAGTTAGCATATTCTTGAAAAAATAGCACAGGGCTGGACACTGTTCAGAAGTGCAAGGACCATTCCAGATGTGGCCTCTGCTCTCATGAAACGGTTCATCCAACACAGATGAAATGACTGGAAAACAGATAATCTATCATTTCTTATTGAGTCATGTAGTAGACTTCACAATAATTGCAAGAGCTGAGCTGAGAAATAAAAGATCAGAATCAGCAGCAGTCATTGGAAAGGTTATAGTAGACTTTAGATGGGTTTTAAAGACTGGCCAGAGGCTTCACCAGAGAAAGAAAAGTCGGGGGGCTTCCTGGAGGAGAACAGCCTTAGAAGCACAGCACATGACTGAGCATGGCACATTGGATGACCCCAGGTAGAAGGCCTTACCCTGGCTGGAACAAGGAGAAAGCTCAGAAATGACTGGGAAGTTGAGGAGTTGGGTTCTAGGGTAGGGTGGAGCCATGCAGAAGACAAGCTAACTGCCGCCTGACAAATTCGCAATTCCCCTTTGATGACACCTTAGGAAAGTGACAATTACAAATTCCATTTATCATTTTGCTGGTCATCTTCAGTAACCACATTTTCAACTTTGTCCCTTTTAGGCTACATTTACTTCTTTTCAGGACCAAAAACATACAAGTATGACACAGAGAAGGAAGATGTGGTTAGTGTGGTGAAATCTAGTTCCTGGATTGGTTGCTAAATGGAAAAGCCTGGTCTTCCCAACAACGAGGATGACAGCAAGCAGCTTCTAACTGGATCTTAAGGATGAAAGCAGAATGTAGGACAGGGATTCTTCCCATGGCCTTCAAGTCAAATTAGAATTCATTGAAAATAATGTTTCCAAATTTTTTCATAGTTGTATATTCAGAATTTTCATCCACATTAGAAAGTGTCTATATGGGCAACTTTATACAAAATCCAAATCAACACAATGCACTCTCCAGTTAGACACCATTATTTTTTCCTTACTTAATATACTGAAGCAGATCAGTTTGATTTTTATTTCCAGGAGGAAGCCTCGTGGTAAATTCCATGACATATACTATAATTCTTTTAATAGGAAATGTTATTACTATACAAATTATAATTATCTGCAAGCAATGGCTTTTGTGGCCATGATTTGGCCATCATTTGTTATAATGAATACAAATTTTCCCAATTTTTACTTAAAAGACATCACAACAAAATATTGTGTAAGATTTGTTTCTAGTTTGTTTAATTTCTGTCTACTCACTGGTCTCTGATGTAGGCTTAGGTGGATAAACCTACCCAAACAAATTTTCATAGTAGGCAAGAGATGGGCACTTTGCAACAGGAAAATTTTTAACAAAAGCTAATAAAATGTTTGAATAGAACAATTCCTCATTTCTTTTTTTCTGTTAATATTTACTCGCTTCTATAATACTTTATTTAGCCACCCACAAATTCTGTGTGCCCGTAGAAAAATTAAACCATGAAATAGCATCATAAGTACACAGACCCAGGAAAAATAACAGTAACTTATTCGACCACCTTATTCCTGAAAATAGACTCAGTGAAACTACCTTTGACCCAGCCAAGTGAGTGTCTTTTGAGCAGTCTTCCATTCAGGGAAGCTCATCTTTTGTTTTAGTTATTCTTACTTCAAGCTAAACCTTTTTCCCTACCTAGACATCAGTACAGGTAAAACTATGGCTGTCTGTCATTCTTATAATTTTGCCTTAATCTTACTCCCTAGAATGTAAGGATTCTAGAATATTTTAATGGTTCTAAAATTGAACGATAAAATACTTGTAATACTTCATAGACCTCCTGGTACATCTACAGTGTTTAACAGATGCTACTATTGTTGCCACCATTTATGACATTTGTTTCATACACTCACTTAAAAGACCCAATATTAAGAAGGGATGGAGGAGTTACTCAAGGTTATTCTATACTTTCCATTTGGTTTCTGTCACTGAAAGTGGCCATTTATAGCCAACCAGATGTTGAATATTTGTTGAAGGCAAGGTCTGCCATCTTTGCCTTCTAACGTCAAGGTGCTTCTACAGAGGTGAAAAGTCACTTTTGCAAAAACTGCTAAGACGGACTTCTTACTACCAATAAGCAAGGAGGAAAACAGGCTGGCAATTTCTTTAAATGTTTAACATAGATTTATCTTATGACACAGCGATCTCACTCCTAACTATACACCTGTGAGAAATTAAAACGTCTACACGAAAAACTTGCACATAAATATTGGCAGCATCATTACTTATAACAGCCAAAGCATGGAAACATGTCCATTAGTGATAAGTGAATACATAAAATGTGGCAAGTCCAGACGATCGAATGTCATTTGACAATAAACAGAAATGAAGTCCTAACGTGTGCTATAACATGGATGAAGCTTGAAAACATCATGGTAAATGAAAGAAGCCAGATACAAAAGGTCACATATTGTATGATTCTATTTATGTGAAACATTTATACAGAAAGCAGACCAGTGCTTGTCAGAAGCTGGAGGAGGGGGTTATAAAGAGTGACTACTACTAATGGGCATGGGGTTCTTTTTTTGGGATAATGGAAATGTTCTAAAACTGAAAGTTGTACAACTCTGTGAATATACTGAAAGCCATTATATTGTACACTTTAAATGAGCAAATTTTATGTTAACTATATCTCAATAAAGCTGTTACATTAAAAAAACAAACAAGGAGATCAAAGTGGTGTGATGATTCATGGAGGTCATGCATTCTGGCAGCTGTGTCAGGGACCACATGACAGTGGAACACCAGCCTGAAGACATCCAGTGCTGCACACAACCAGCCAGATGTCCTCCTCATGTCCGGCACTAGCCCAGAACTGTGCATAAAGAAGACACTTCACTAGTCAATGAATTCACTGAAAGCAATAAAGCATATGCTCTCAGGTCTGGCTGATGGATTCAAACTCCACATCTTCTGTTTTCAACTATGTGATATTGACCAAATTCCCTCATCCTCATTCTCTGTCTCAGTGTCTTCCTTTATAAAAATGGAAAAATGGCAGTTTTTACCTCCTAAGGATATTTAGAGGCTTAAAGCTATGAGTCTAAATATGCAAAGTAGTCTCTCGCACTCTACAGAGGCTCTATACTTGTTGTTGTTGAAGCCATTAGAGTTCATTTTGTTTTGTGATATTTTGGAGAATTTGTATATATCCTTTGAGATAACTAAAGATCTGATGAGCTATAACATCACAAGAATTGATCATCAATGATCTGAAATTTTTCTCTTCCAAATGTCAAATTAAATAATTTTAAAATACTATGTTTAGCCCCCATCTCCAAAAAATAATTCTTACAAATCATCATTTTATTGAGTTGAAGAATTCTTGGCTCTTAGGCCAGGCATGGTGGCTCACACCTGTAGTCCTAGCACTTTGGGAGGCCAAGGTGGGTGGATCACTTGAGCCCAGGAGTTTGAGACCAACACAGGCAACATGCTGAGACCCTATCTCTACTAAAAATACAAAAAGTAGCTAGGAATAGTAGCTCACGCCTGTGGTCCCAGCTATTTGGGAGGCTGAGGTGGGAGGACTGTTTGAGCCCAGGGGGCAGAGGTTGCAGTGAGCTGAGATTGTGCCACTGCACTCCAGCCTGGGTGACAGAGAAAAACCCTGTCTCAAAAAAATAAAAAAAATCTTGGCTCTCAGATATAAAATTTGTATGTATTTTGGAAAGATACATACAGTCTCTCTAAAGCACAAGAAGGGGTGATGGTGTCATAACACAGAGCACTTATCTTCATATGATATAAGAACTTTGTGCAGAAATAATTTATAAAATATACTACTCATTTGACTTCAGAGTAACTGAGTGCAAACATGACTCATTAAATAACAGTTTTGGACAAAGTGTGGCTGAAGTACTCCTTTGAGGATCAAGAGGTAGCAAAATAGAGTTCACTTTCTGATGAATTCTGTGCATTATCCTATTAATCTCAGTGATGACTTTTTGTGAGCTGAGACCTTTGAAAGAACTAAACAAGCTACTAAGAATGAATGATTCACCTCAGTGGGGAGCTTTCCTAACAGCTCCATATTAAATTTTCTGTGGTGTAAACCAAGCCCTGTTTTATCTAACCTAGTGCTAAATGGAAGACCGAAGTTTGTCTTTTGGGTCTTCTGTTTCTTTCCAAATGTTTATTGGGAAACAACTTAGATGTCCGTTTCACAAAGCAGATGGCAAACAACCTAAGCTGTTTTTCATTTGGAATTCTGTATGTAACATTTTTAAATGGCCACAGGGTCTTCAAGGTGCTTTTATTTATATATTATCCAGATGTTTTTTAAATCCTGTTAGTTATTTTTCTCTTACAGGCAATGAAATTGAAGGTTCTTGGTGAATATTCATAGCTAAAATTACCCAGTGAAGGGCCATTTGAGAGGAAATGCATAATGCTAGCCAACAGGTTGGTATTTTAGACCACTATAATGGAGCTTAGGAGAGTCTAGGCCAAAAGATCGTCTGCATTTCTCCCCAGTAGGTCCGGGTAAAAAGCAGAAACAGCATCTTTTGATCGTCTTTCATCTGTCGAGCCTCCTGTGTTTGGTCTCATTCCCATCCCTAAGTGGTTTGTCAACATGACTAGTTTAAAAGGTATCCTGTTACACTCAAAATGTCATAATCACAGATTTGTTCCCAACACCTAGACCCTTGGAATTGAACTAGAAGCAGAACTGGGAAGCTGGCAAATAAATTACAATGGGAAATTAGTGAATGTCTTTGGGATTCAAAAGAGGACTCTTTTTTTTAATGAAGATCTCTTCATTTTAATGTCTTCTCCATTAATCTTAACATTCTTTCCTTTAATTTAATGTATCATTTAACATGTTTGGAGATGAAAGTAAAATTGTGTTGCACAATGCAGCATGTTGTTATGACAAGAGATTGAGGCGAGATGAGAATAGAAAAGCATGAGAGGGAGTAAATGGGAAAACAATTGCAAAACATTTGTTGAGAAATGTTAACACTTAAGACCATCTCGGATCATTTGCAGTGGAAAAAAAGGGTGTCTGTATAAACAGTTAGCAATGTGTTTATTCTTGGAAAGTCCCAGGCCTGTAATGCATTGATAAGCAACATGAGTTTTTTAGTTGGATATTAAATGTGTTGAGAGCCGTCTCTGTAGAGAACGGACGTCAAAAGTCCATTATAGCACATTCCACTTGAATTGCAGACTGCTCAATGGTTGTGGTGTGCCACCTTCCCAGATTCTAAACGTAATTCCATATATGAATTAGCAATCTCTGTGAGTGATTTTATCAGTTGTTTCTTTAAAACAATCTCTAAAATTAGTTCATCTTTACAATCAATTCAGTACTTTTGAGGGATCTATCTACCTCACCATCTCTACCCGTATTATTCATTCTTAATTCACTAGAAAAGATTCATTTAGCACCTACTTTGTGCTGGCACCAACCTATGCTCAGGTGCTTTCTTGCATAAACTTCTGCCCTCAAGGAGCTTACATTCTATTATTGAGACACACAATATTCAAATGAATAGAGATCTAAAATGAAAGACAGTGAAAGTGCTTTGAAAAAATAAATAAAGCAGGGCAGGTAATAAAGAATGTTGGAGTGCCATTTTATAAAAATATATTTGGGAAAAGGCCATACTGGATCCAGGGTATTCATGCAGAATGACTGAAGGGAGGGAGGAAGCTGTGGAAGTCTCTAGACGTTTCAGGTAGAAGAAGCAGTCAGTGCAAGACCTTGATGTAGGTAGGAAGGATTTGCAC